TGAGCCCACAGAGGGGTGCGTGAAGACGGATGCTAACTGCCTCCACTAGAATGCGAGACCGCACTTGTCTGGACCGTCCCGGTTACGATGTGATTAGTGCCCACACTACCTCACTTGCGATTGAAGTAACTGCTCCACTTCTCATCCACGCTGGTTGATGCACACGGATGTGCTCGGACAGACGCCTGGTCGTGCAATCACTCACGCTCCCATGTCCCGCCATGAAACAAATGATAATTGGGGACCAATTATGATACAAACTGTTGAGTACTTTAAATAATTTTCCTTTTTCTCTTGTAAATCATTATGTTACTAGACATATATATTGTGCTGTGATGGTATGATTAGGACACACTAAAAACGAGCTTGTTTGCCAATTGAATTCTCATTATGTGCTCCGTGGGACTATTTAACCACTATTTAACAGTGCCTTTCCGTTGATTATTCTCCAGCATCGCTATGAAAAATTTGCCCAAAAGGTCCTGGTGGGGATCTCATTGCTACTCCGTTCTTTTTCTATTGATCCTTCCGTTGAAAATAAACTGAACGTTATATGTACACCGAAACAAGACATCGTGCAGGGTCTCCGTGAGTATCCCAAAAGGAAAGTCGTTATCAGTTTGATATTTATGACGAACCGGATGGTTTCCACTAATGACACGTTCGTGAAAAGTGACGTGATATCCCGTAACAGCATCATTTTAACTGGCAGGTCTATATCTTGTATTGCTTCAAGAAACTGGAACGTATCCTTATTCCATATGCCAATAACTGTTTCCTATCGGGTTCAAGGATTTCAGCCAACCAGTGAGCGACGGCATGGGACGAAGGAGAATCTGAGCTTGATGGATTTTTGGCAAACCACATAGTCCCGGAATGCATGAACCGGCAGGTCTTATGCGTTCATATAGCTCACTGCTTGTGTAATGCTCTTGATTGAGTCGTTTCAGTATCCCCGTGGATTTGCTGTTCAGTCTGGTATGTTTGTCCTTTTCTGTTGGCATGGTTGAGAAGTTGCCCTCTTCTGATACGATAGAAAGTAGTTTATGTCCCTTTATTTTCCATGACCACAATCCTGGTTCCTTTATCTGGGCGACTGAATATTATATCTTTACTACCGGTCAGTTCACATATTGTCTCGATGTGCGTTTTGGTAACCGGACCAGCCGTGTGGGGTTTAGTTCTGCGATCTAGATAGCAGGCGTTAACCAGAGTTGAATTGAAAGAGTGTCAGATCGAAACAACGTTCGGAGTGTATCAAAAAATCGATGCGCCATGTGATATGTTTTATGTAATTTGTAATTTTGAAAACACAGCGATGTCGGTACAGGTGAACATAAGCCGACGTTTCGGTTACCGTGGATAACCTTTATCAAGGCGATTTTTCAATCGAATGAAAAATCGCCTTGATAAAGATTGCCCACGGTAACCGAAACGTCGGCTTATTTTCACCTGTATTGACTTGAAAGCCTCCATCTCCTCATTGTTCAAATCTCCTGTCTCTTTATTTCGGTTTATGGCTTTTAGATAAACTCCAAAACGATCACTGTTCGCATGCTGGTAAAAACGCATATGTTTCCATTGAAATAGGGTAGGTACAGTGAACAACGAAGTGATCATCTACATTTAGCGTGTAGGTAGGTAGCAATTTTTGGTTAACCTAGTTCGGGAGAATAACTCCAGACTGCTGTTATTAGTTAATTAGTCTAAAATGATTGAGCATATATTTCGGTCTGACGATAAGTGTGCATTTTCCGATTCTTCCTAGAGGTTGATTTTGACCTTTGTACGTCAATGCACACATATATGTATGTGCATAGGCATGTTTACATGAATAAAGTGTATAATTGACCCATTCGCAATGCCATCCGTGCATAGCGCGTCACTTTCACCCGCAAAATTATGTCTTAAATCTAGTCGATATTCACATAATGCGTCATAGATTTGAAGGGGCTTTTAAAAATATGAAGGTAGATAAAACACACTCATTTCACCTAAACAAATGATCGCCTGTTTGGGGCTGACACGCATACATTTTTGTATGTATGCTTCAGTCGTTTCCTACTGCTTCATATCATGTTGTAGAACACAAAGCGATGCATCAAGAACAAAGATGCAGATTGAAATTTTCCCCAAAAGATAATGGAGATACCGTAATCTTTGAGGAAATAGTCATCATACTGAACCACTTAGATTGAACAGCAAGTTGAACATTCGACTCAGTTGTTAATCAATTTTGGTCTCTTTTTATACAATGCAACAGTATTGACTAAAACGGATGCTCTTTGGAGCCGTAATAGCTAAATTGTACGCCAACGTCACTGAATTAGATTGAGATCTGTTTTATTGCTGCACGGATCAAACGAAATAATAAAATATGCTCACTTAGCTCGTATAAGGCTTTCTGGTTTGGGACCTCGGGATCAGCATAATCGGATGTGAAAGTGAGTGATAGGGCTGGGTGTCATCATTAGTAAGCGCTCGTAAGTAAATGTCGTTGCAATCTTAATCCTCAGTAAATTTCTATTTTCACCCCGGCACTGATTTGCGTATCCCAATTTTCTCTTTTCTCCCTGATCCAAATGGTCAGCCATGAAAGAGCGACCAATAATGTATCACAAAGTTGCATGGTGATAATTGTAACAGCGGAACTGAACTAAATTGTAACTGGATTTCCGGATTCTTTTGAATAGCTTGTATATAGTTTCTGAAGTTAATAATGAGGAATAATAAACACGGCTTCCAACACTTGTTTCCTAAAGTGATAGTAACGATATTGGAAATCGCTTGCTTTCATGCGACTCAATTTTGAGTTCATCGAGAGTTCAGAGCGTCGAATGAGGGGAATGGAACAACTGACTTAATTTTATTCATAGCACAATGAGATGCCATAACAGAAACAAACTTCGTGTATACTCACTTGCTCATTCGTCTGGCATTCGTTTGCCCAGTAAAAAGACATTTAGCATCCAGTCGGAGAAAAATAGGAAATCAAATAAACGTGAATGTGAAACTCCCGAAATCAAAAGTGGGTACAGACATTTCAGGGAAAGGGACAGAAAATTTGAAAACGACTAAATCGTGGCCTGATCAACCTCTGAGTCCCATTCATCACCTTTTTGTACCAAATGGGTATTTGGAGTCTAAAGGCAAATTGATGTGGGTGTTTTGTTTTTGAAACCATTGTTCGATTTCATTGAATTTCGTTTGATGAAGAAGGTTGAATATTCACAAGGGAAGTTTTAACAAGGAAAGAAGTCGAACAGTGTTAACGGTGATTAGACGACGAAATGCGTCCGTACACAACTGAATAGATATGAATGATGTGTTTCTTTGAGATCTCGTACTGGCTAACTACAGTTTCAACTATCGACAGTAGGGGACGAAGGATGGCCAGTATGTAGGTGAAATGCAGGCGAGTTAGGGCTCTATTTGACAGTTTTTTGTATTTCCGTCAGTTTGGCTTCAACTTTCTTGAAAATTTCGTCCACAGTTCCGGAAGCATCAATCTGTGTTAAAGCAAGGAAAACCGAACAGAAAAAATTCTAGTCTGGAACTCAATACTTTGTTCAGTAAGCACTCCGATTACTTGTTGAATAAAAAGGTTAAACTGCAGCAGAGGATAGAACTAATGGTTTGGGCAATAAAAAAAATATACACAATAGATATTCTTCTTCATTAAAATAGATATTTTAGTGTGACCGGGACAACTGAATAAATCGAAAAACCTCACGTGTTTTGCTCCAAACAGGAGAGTCGAATTCCGAGACCTTCTTGAGAAGATTGTTCTGTTCCAATGCGGGGATTTTCTAGCTTATTCTCGCTAAGCACTTTTTTCATTAGTGATATGCAATAAAAGCCTTTAGCTCCCTTTGGTTGGATGCAAATAGAAACGAAGGTCGAAACAACAAGATCCCGTCCTCAGCCGTTGCTCGGTATCTTCTGGTGACGTAACACCAGACATACCGAAGGACAGCGTTCCGGATTGCCTACGAGTCACGAGTTGCAGGATTGCTGAGGTTTACTGAAGCGATTGCTATAAAACGATGGAGGCACCTCTGTGCTAACAAAATAACTTTCCGTTAGCCTGTCATTATCCTGGTGAAATAGTCACTCTACCTTTCTATGTTTTGTCTCTTTTAATGTATTTTGCTTTGTTGCCAAGCTAAAGCCCTAAATAAACATAGCATTCTCTGCAATATGCACCATATTGATTTGCAGTGAAACCGTCCTGGACATGAATCGTGCAATATTGCAACGCGGTCTTTTCATTTGAAATCGATTTTCCTGGGATGTTTCCTAATTCCACCAGCACCTTCTGACTCTCTCCATTTTGTGTTGATTAACAGCCCTTTTGTAATATTTCGAAAAGGCGGTGCTGGTCGAGGAGAGTTCTTTATTGCAGAATACAGTTTGAAGGTCACTAATTTTGCATGCATAACACGAAAAGCTCATCAGAAACATGCCTTCACAGCACATCGCGACACATGGGGCAATGGGTATAGCAGGCAGCGTTTATTCTTCCCAAATATATTACTTGGTCCTTGATGGTCTTGTTCTATTTTTAATCATTGAAAGTTACCGACTACTCACAAGTGAGTAGTATCTCACAACACTTTGATGGGCGGCTTCCCTTGCTTAAAATTTTATCTTTGCATATTCAATAAAAGGATATAAAATGAAAAAGAAAAAATATACCGATCAGAGATACCCAGTATGTCAATATCGGATGTCAGGGTGATTTCTGAAATGAGGAACTTCGGATCGATCCAACGGTGAAATCACAACTCATTATTAATTACCGTTTGCGATCGTTTAAATGTCATTTATCTCTACGAGTACCTATACATGTTTCCAAGTGCAGTTTCTCAATGATAATGTTTAGATGGATAGTTTCAAGTGCCTGCATCAGATGGTATTTTGTTTTTTTTTAATTTTAGATTTTGACGGGGCTCAAAATCAAAACAATACCCTTAAAGGATGTTCAAACATTTGAACGCTTAGCAATCACTTACACGTATCAGTTTGTTCTGTTTCTCGTAGTAGTCCAAAACCGGTTTTGTGCTCTCGTTGAATGTGTGGAATCGTTTCTTGATGGTTTCCTCGTTGTCATCCACTCGACCACTGGTCTGACCGCGTTTGAGCAAACGCTCTTGCATTATTTTCTCGCTCACATCAAAAGCAATCACACACAGACAAGGGCACACCTGAAAACAGTTTGGGTAGATTAGAGAATTGGTTTGGTTTGATTGACCAGACTTCGTTATCTCTGTAAGAATATTTCAAGGTGGAGATGCTTTCGTTCCCGTAGCAATCGATATCCAGCTTAAATACCCGTTTGCTCCGAGGAAAAGCGGTTGATCAGAAAACTAAAAAGTCTTGGTTAAATAAAACCGTTCTTGTTTATTTTCTCGTGATGGAG